GAAACATTTTAGAACATGATATGCCCAATAACAAGGTCCAACAAAACATACTTAACATAAGTCCACATAATACTCAATAAGGCACTCATGCTCTTAACTTCTACATAAAAACTGAATTTAGGCATATAAAAATCACGGCGGACTCAACAAAAACAGACCGCTGTTTATTGTGTTTTTGTTAATTGAATGCTTATGCGTTGTACTATATGTGTATGATAATTTTGAATCGTGATAGTTTGGGCAATAATTTTGACTCGTGGTAGTTTGGGCTTTGATTGATCATGTTCGGTGTTAAGTCTTATTATGCGGTTTAGTGGTCAAAGTGTTCCTTACTTGCTTGTGTGGCCTAATCAACCCAATCAAAACCCATAATAATAAAATCACTAAAATGTAGGTGTGTTTGAGGAATCGAGCCCTCTGCCTACCTTCTGTTGATCATTCTGTATTTGACTACCTCGTCTATCAGGTGGGTTTTATTTGAAAAATTTGCTATGCCTTAAATGTTATTACTATTTAATTTGTGGTATGATCAAAGTATGCGTGTGAATCATGTAGCCTTCGGTATGAATTGTACCGGCCACCGAACTGTTTTCCCCGTAGCTATAGAACGTACCCGTTGGGTAGTCTCCCTTGAGAAGCCGTAAGACCAGGGCTTAGGTCCCTCGGCCGGTGATCCTCACTGGTAAGACCAAGGCAAGCCCTTGGCCGGTGGGGTGGTTTACTCCTATTAGCTGGCACTCGATATAGGACCGGAGGGCATTCGATATATAGTCAACAACAGTCTATGTGTAGGTGTGCACATGAGTCTGATTATTGTGATTATTGATGGGAGAATGGGATAGTTTATTGCTTCGTATACATACTGAGATTATACCTTTCGATTATTGATTATTGGTCATTATTGAGACTAACGTTTAATTCATAGTGGTGAGCACTACTGTTTCCTTTTGTGCTCACCCCCACCTGCTCTCCATGGATGCAGGTTAGTATTGCGGGCACGACGGAGGGATGCGAGTGGTGGTCATATTATTGATATTGCACCGCCTATCTGAATTGATTATTGTTATTTATGCTTTTCGAATAATCAGTATTGGATTAATGATAGGGAGTGTACTCCCTAATTATTATGATTATTGGATTGCAGGATTGAGTATTGAGCTTTATTATTACGAATTCCGTATTGATAATTGACTAAGTATTGAAGATTGATTGAGTATTGATGATTGGTTAAGTATTGATGTTCGTTTTGAAATTGAGTAGCGCCTCAAGTGATTTAGAAGACAAATTTGAAAAATTTATTCTGATTTTTGGCAAATAAAAGTGGGGCGTTACAACCATGGTATTGCGATTATAGAAAATGTAGTACCCAGTACAGGGTCCCCACCTGATATGCTGAAATGCAAGTGTTGAATGGTTTGAAACTGTCGGAGGCTCGACTCTCCACAAGCTACAAAATATATAAGCACAAAATATAATCTAAGTACTTATCTTAAACTGAAAACTCGAATTATATTATCTGTGTTGTCTAGGTTCGCTCACTTGGCTTTAAAATCATTTTAGGGATTTACGAGCTCATTTTTGAAAATTTATTGTCTTTGAGGCATGCTAAAGTTCTCTGAAATATTTCTAAATCTGGAACTATAATCTGACTTAATATAATTTGACTGAAATCTTAAATCTGATTAAATCTGAAATATATCTGGATCTTAAATATATCTGAAATCTTAACTATATTTGGAATCTTAACTACATCTGAAATCTTAACTATATCCGGACATCTTAATCTGATTGGATCTGAAATTTATCTGAAAAAATATCTGATATTCTATCTGAAATATATCTCGAACCGTCTGGACTGACCGGATCGGTTCGACTGAACTGGATTGACGACTCACTCGGAGTCGGTTGATCATTCGCTTGACTATGTGCAACTCGATTTGACCGTGGTCCGAGTTCGGCGTGGCGACTTGGGTCAGCACGAACTCGACTGACACGGCTTCACCGATGCACGGTTTGAAACGGTGCCACGGTCACTGACGCAGGGGCGTGCTTGGACCACAGCTAACGGAAACGGTGCGTACACGGTAGATCGGATGTACTCAGTGCACGGGCACGCACTCGGTGGTTTGACTCGGGCTCGGTGCACTGGCACGCACTCGGTGGTTCGTCTCCAACGGTCGGACAAGAGTCGAACACGTATGCAGGATGAAGATACGCATAAAGATTAATTCTATATCGACGTCTATAATTATTGAAACGGTACTAGGGCTCGGGCGATTAAACTCGGATCTGGAATTTACCCGGTTATCGGAACCGAATAAAACTAGGGTTTCTGATTCTCGAACATTTTAAGTCATTTAAAACCGATACTTAAACCATTATTTCTATTTGATTTTTACCGATTTTATAATCAACAACTGTAGCTAAAATCTCAACCGGACTAACATTGTAAAATATCTCATTTATCGGCTAATGTCTCGATTTAATCGCTATACCAAACGACATCAAAATTCACGAAAATTAAAACATAGCCTTCTCAACATATATTTAGTCCATGGTCAAAATGTCGCAACCCAATTCATCTCCTAACTCATTCAACTAACAATCGCTTCACGGTCAAACATTTCAAAAATCTCGTTCGTCTATCAAACGAACCCCAAAAATTCTCAAATTCGCACCTAAGCCTCAAGACAAATGCAACATATTTTATAAAATTTATTTCGTCATTTTATCGCATTTATTTAAAAAGCTCGAAAAATCCACTTCAAGCTCGACAAATCCAAACAAATCAAATATCGCTCAAATCCTGAAATTCACATTTTACTATCATCTTAATAATCGTATCCAAGCTCATGGAGAAGGGTTCAAGCCATTTTACCTAAAATCGGACTCGAATCGGAGATCGTAAAATTGAAGGAGCTAACGAAATGAGTCGGTGACGCAAATCGGGCCGGAGCTAGGGCTATGGGCCGCGGATCCGAGTCAGCTAGGTCAGATTGGGTCGGCTCTGAGTGCTGGAGCGGGGCAACACGGAGTGGGTCAACTCGGAATTGAGGTGACCGAGTCTGAAATGAAGCTGCTGAGTCGGGTTTGACCGGGTTCGGAGCGCTGGTCACGGGCCTGGACTCGCACGGGGCTGAACCGGCCTGGACGAGGCTAAACTTGGGCGACTCGGTATTGGACTCGGATCTGAGTCGGGGATGTAGAGCGAGGCGAGTTGGGCTTGCTGGGTCACAGACCGGGTCGGCTGGTGAAGGGGTTGTTGGTTGCGACGGTATGGACATGAGCTGCGACAAGAATCGGTTGAGCTGGGCTTGAGCTCGCCGTTCGTGGGTGGCTAGAACTGGGGCGATTCGGGGCTGCAACCAGCTAGAACGCGACGGACTTGAGCTTGACGGGATGAATGGGCTCGGACAGACGAAAACTCGCCGAAAAACGGGGTTGCTGGCGCTGTGTTCGTGGCTTTGCGCGAATAGGGCTCGAGTTTCGCCGGAAATGGGAAGGTGGTGGCAAGCTAGGGGTACTCACCGTGAAGGGCTGACTCGAGGACGACTGGACCGAGGTGCATGGTCGTGGCTGAGGTCTACCGGCGCGAGCTCAGGTTCGGGTTCACCGAAAAACACCAGGGGTGGCCGAATTTTTGAAGAAGGTAACTATGGAGGTGCTATTTTGAGCTTGCTCTTGAAGATATGAGGTGAAGAGATGATGGATCTAGGGTTTGGCTAATGAGGAGGAGGATGAATAGTGTAGGAGAAATGAGAATGTTGTGATATTTATACACATAAGGTAGCTAGGGTTTCCATTGTGTATTGGGCCTCTAAATTAGGCTTTAAAAATCCTCACTTGGGCTCGATTAAATCGGACATAGACTTAAGGAAATCAATTTCTCGGCTAAGCGATTTAATCGACTCGGACTAAATAAATTAGTCGGTCTAATATTACTAGAATACTTGGGCTCGATTTAAAAATCGACTATATGCTCGATTTTTAAAATGGACTAAATAAATTGAACTTGGGATCGATTTAACTAAAATGGGCTGGCTAAAATATTTGGCTCGCTCGAGAATAATTAGGCTCGAATACAAAAATTATTCAGCTTCGCTCCGCTTTAATTGAATTCCGATCATTCGAATACTCGATTTAAAAAAAAAAACAATCGATACTTGGGCTAAATACATCCGACTTTAATAATTAAAATTGAATAAATTCTCCATGGCTTAAACTTTAATACTAATTATTCAATTTAATGCAAAATAATAATAACTGCATTAAATTGGGAAAGTTAATAATTGTGGAAATATAATAGAACTACATAAATAGTAAATAAAATCTAGGCGTTACAGGAGTAGACCTCGATGAATGCTCGATCGCCGTGGGTTGGTCATGGGGATGGATAGGCCCGACGGTGGGATAATAAAAGAGAGAAGAATGAAGGGAAAAAAAAAAAAAAAAAA